GTCCCTGTCTTATATGAAGACAGATTCAATCTAAAATTCAAAGCTTTAGTTTAGATTAATATATAGGATAAGTTGCCTTGTTATGTAAAGGTTTTACAACTTTTATTTATTTATTGCATTGTTTTATATCCCACTTTACATACATTGCATTTATGACACATAATGGTAAGTTATAAATGATTACATTTAACATTGTGATCAAACAATACCAGATCTACTGGAGGAAAAATCAAATTCTTTATCTTTAATTTTTTGGGCTCCCTTCCAACAGGACAGTTAGTGTTAAGATGGTCATATGGTGAGAGAGGAGACAATGTTGCTGGAGCAGGTTCAGACATCTGGTACTGTTGTCATCTCCTCCTTGTTCCTGGAATATCCCCTATATGATAATTTGTATTTGATAGGAAGCACATCTGAGCAAAATATGGCAAAACCAGATAATTTAAATTATAGTACATATCAATTTCTCTTCAACATTTGAGTGAGGTTTTTGTTTCCACTTTTATCAATTGGGATTGCACCTTTTATAAAAACCTAGCTGTTTTTGTTAATTAAATATATTTTTAACAATTATGATATCTTTTTAAATAGGTGAAGAATTAACAAAATCGAAGTTTTCTGCTTCATCTAATGAGTAAGTTTCATCTTTGATATTCATGCTTTGAAAGGCATTAAATATTATTTTGCAGGGGGGGGGTCCCCCAGATTGCAGTGTTCACAGTTGGATTTGATATTACAGCTTAGGCATTGGGAAATGTGTTTTGATTTTTCATTTTTAAAATTAATTTCTTCATTCTGTTTTGTTGTTAATTTGTGCTCATATTAGAATAGATAAATATTTGTGTACTGGTTTGGTTCAACTTTAAAAAAGCATTTGTTGCATGAATTTGGTAGTTTTACATTGAGTAACATTTCACATTTGCTGGGTTTTTTTAACCTTTGCTTATCATTTTCATAGTGAAATACAGGAAACTATAATACCAGCAGAATAATAATAGTTACACAGTGAAAAGTAACTAGCTATATTGTGGTGATTAAGCATTCCACATTTGTAAAATATAAGCTTAACACTGTTTAAAATGAATATGTATGTAAATCATTTTCTTGCTTTTGTAAAGTAGCAAACTTTTTATTATAAACAATTACAAGTATTGTTTTCAGATACGCTTAGATTGTATAGAGCCATATAATATTATGGCTGCAGGCCATTGCTAGAATTTAATAACTTCTTTGTGATCTCCATGCAGTCACACATATGATTCTTTATGTGTATCTATACTACCTTTGGCTCTTTCTAGAAAAAAAATTAGCATTTTGGTGGCACTCCATCCTTAGTTTCATTGTCTATGTTCAAGGAAGTATGGCTTTAACTTTCCTACTCAGTTTCTTTAAATCACCATAGCATAGTATTCCTAGTTACTTTTGCTCGTTAAACTAATGAAAAAAGAGAAACAAATCCTTTTTATCTCTTATATTATTTCCAGATGTCTAGAGCTTTTTTGCATTTTTCTCCATTTCTTCTATTATGTCATGTGTCTGAGGGCATTTTACTTGCTTTTTTTTTCACAGCCAATGGCTCTGAAAGTAGCTCCTTTCCAAAATTTGCTTGGGAGAATAAATTTCCATGCCAGGATTGGTAGTTTCTTGTATACTTGGGAGAAAGAAGGCTCATTCTGTCATTGCTTTACTAAGCAGCTGATAGGGAAAGAGCTCTTCCCTTGGAAATAGAGCTGTTTGCAACAGACCAAGGTCTCAGCAGTTCAACATGTTTCTTGTCCTGTTTATTGGAGCTAGTGAGAACAATTCTCCCTCATCTTCTGCAGTTTAGAATCCAGAATATTGACTTATTTTGATCTTAGCGCTATGCTTCTATTGATTCATCCTAAGATTTTTTTTGTATCTTCATCACATTGGTTCCAAGAAACCAGATCCTTTTTTGCACATATTGCTTCCCATAGTCCTATACTTGTGTCTTTGACTTTTTCAACTTTTTTCAATGAAGGACTTTGCATTTGTCTCTGATAAGTTCATCTTTTTGGTTTATGCCAATTGTTCCGGCATGTTGAGATCTTTCTGAAATTTGATATGTTTAAAATGTTTGTTTGATATAAATGTGGGAGTTACAATTTTTCAGATAGTTTTGTATCCATCTAAAGATAGCACATTTTGCTATCTTTTCTTCTAGAATTGCATGGGAGACTTTGTCAAATGCTTTCTTGAAATCAAGGTACACTGTGACTTGTTCTTGATAAACTCATGCTGATTCCTTCCAACCAGTCTTTTCTAAGTGTACACAAACCAACTATTTAATCATTTCTTCCAGAGTTTTGCCTATTATCAGTGTCAGGCTGACCAGTCTATAATTACAGTTCCTGATTCTCCCCCCCCCTTTTTTTTTAAGATAGGGACACAATTGGTGTTTCTCCACTCTTCTGGTACAATGCCTGCCTTCTGTGATTTTTCAGACCATAGAAAGGGGTTTTAGATTATATCCGCAAACTCTTTAAATACTCTTAGATGTCACTGGTCTGATCTTAGAGACTTAAATTTGTTCATGGTAGCCAGGTAGCTAATTATCTCTTTACTTACTTAGTCTTTATGTCATTTGTTCTGCTTAAATCCATTTGAACTCAATTCTCTGGGAAGAAGATTGAAACAAAATAGATGCTAAGGAACTCTATTCTCTCCCTGTTACCTTTACTTTCCTGCCATATTCTCCAAACAGCAGATCCACCCTTTTCTGTTTCTTCCTACTACTATGGACAGAGATAAATGAGCCTTTTTCATTGCTTTTATCTTCTGTTACAAGCCCAAGTTCCTTTTGTGCATTCTTCACATACTAGCTACTTGCTGGTATATTTCTTTGATGATTGCAGTCATCTTTCATTTCCTATACATGTCCCATTTAACTCTTAGCTCAATTAAAAGCTCTTTATGTACCCACAGTGGTTGCTTACGTTTTTCTTTTCATTGGAGTGATATGCTTCCCTATCTTATTTTAGAGCACTTCCCAATCCTGTTGCATTCCCTTTATCTTGAGGATTTCTCTTCTGGGAATCTTCCTAGTAACTTGTTGAAATTGATTCTAGTGTAGATGTAAAATTATGGTCCAATTTCGCTTTCTATAGTATCTTTAACACCATGATTATATGGTCACTTCCTCCCAAATTTTGCACTACTTTTACTTATTCAAGCGGTTCTCTATGATTAGGATAATATGTAGAAGAGCCAGTCAGTAAGCAGTCAGGAAACAGCAGCAATAATAATTCAGCAACTTTCCCCTTTCTTCCTCTCTTTGTTAACTCGGTCAGTCAAAATAAGTCAGCCTGATGGTTTCACCCTGGAAATAGGTTTCCGATTCATGGTAGTTCTCCCAAAGATATTGTTCTCATTTACACTTACCACAAAAGAAATGCTAAATCAGAAAGTTTCAGAAACTTTTACAGATAGTCCCCAGATAACAACAGTAATCGGGACCAGGAACTCCATTGCTAAGTGGCGTGGTTGTAAAGCACAATGTCACATGACCATGCTGACTTACAATGGCAGTTGCAGTTGTTAAGCGAATCCCGCACAGTCATTAAGCACAATGTCACGTGATCGCCATTTGTGACCTCCATTGTCTGTGCTTATGAGGAGCCAGGAGGGAATGTCAGAAATCACAATCATGTGACTGGGATGCTGCAAAAGTCATAATTGCGAGCCAGTTGCCAAGCACCCGAATCACGATCATGTGACCATGGGGACACTGATGGCCGCAACTTCAAGGACTGGCTGTAGGTCTCCTCATTCAGCGCCATCATAACTTTGAACAGTCGCTGACTGAATGGTAATTAACCAAGGACTACCTGTATTGTGTATATATTGAATATAAATATACATGTCTTGCACTGGAGAAGATAATAGATAAAAAATAATATTTATTCTTTATTGTCACCATAATCACAGATTCTGAAGAAAACATTTGCAGAAGAGACAACATTAGGTCTATTTTGCACACATACCCCAAAGCTTACTAAAGCAGATGTTCAGTGATCATAAAGACAAATTTTCCTTTTTTTTTAAACTATCATTTTGATTTTTTAAAACCTATCAGTATTTTCTTTTCCATCCATTACAAATAGTCCTCGCTTAACGACCGCAATTGGGACTGGAATTTAGGTCACTAAGTGATGCAGTTATGCAAATCATCACATAACCAGACCTGATTTTACGATCTTTTTTGCAATGGTCGTTAAGCGAATCACAGCAGTCATTAAGCATATCACATGGTCATTAAATGAATCACACAGTTTCCCATTGATTTTGCTTGCCGGAAGCCAGTTGGGAAGGTCACAAATGGGGATCATGTGACCACAGGATGCTGCAACTGTCATAAGTGCGAGCTGGTTGCCAAGAGCCCGGATCACGATCGTGTGACTGCAGGAGAGCTACAAAGGTTGTAACTTTGGGCACCAGTTGTAAGTTACTTTTTTAGCGCTGTTGTAACTTTGAACAGTTGCTAAACAAATGGTCATTAAGTGAGGACTACATGTATGTTAAATAGGGATCTGGTCTGAACAGTCAAGATCCATATTCTTGCAAAGCTCAACATATGAGAAGGACCATCCTTTGATTCACAATCTGTAACAATAATAGGCGGATCATGGCCACAATTAAAATCTTTAGAGCAAAGATAGTGGGTTATCTTCTCTGTGGTGCCTAGATCTGCAGCTGTCATAGCTATAGAAGTGGACTAGTAAAAATCTCTAAGGGATGTGATCCAGATGCCAATCCCTCATTCAGAGTAGAGACAGTCCTGACTACATTAGAAGACTAAGTTCAACTGTGCCATCTGAGATATTGACTCAGACTAATCTTTCTTAGCCCTTTACATTATTTGGCTTTCCGAGATAACTTTGTATCTTCATGGGTAATTGAAGTCCAATTTGAGATTCTGTAGATTTTCTATGGAAAGTCTGAGCTCTGTCAAAAATAAAACATTGGATTTTCAACTTAAATTTACAAAAGGACCTAAACTTTACTATGGTCTACAATTTGGGCATACTCAGGAGACCACTGACAGCAGTCAAATGCCTTACCAATAATTTTTGTCCAGAATGTGGAAGAACATTACATTAGCTGGATACATTTATCTTTAGCTTTTCTGGAAGGGAGGTTCAACAGCATACTTATATAAGATAATTTATGCTGAAGTTCCTTGGAAATCAATAGTACATGTCCTTCTTTGTTGTCCCTTTAATTTAAATTGGCATAAAGACTCAATTACATCTCTTAACAACCAGACATAGCAAAACAGATACCTATTTTCCTGTTTCTCTCTTGGCAGTTACCTCAGAGATGATCTCCAGGAGAAGCTAAATTCTGTTTAAACTTCATTGCTATTCATCACAAGATAATTTAGTTTTCCCTGCTTAGAATCTTTGATACCTTCACGGCAAAATTTTAAAACAGTATTGAACAACAATCAATTATAGTTAACAAATTTATTGATGTTTATCTTCCTAGAGCCATGACAGCCTATAAGTAGCTATCAGCCCTACAGACCAGATAAAGAAACAGACGCTGCATATATCTAAAACTACTTTTATTAGAATGGCTATAGTAACAAATTCTTGCAAATCTGAATGTGCTTCCCCTCTTCCTTCTTTTATCTCTTCATGTGAATTGAGGGGCGGGGTGGGAGTTCTTTAGACATTTAATTAAAATTTAAGTATTTTACTGCTCTTGTTCTTTGATATTGGTGATTTGTTTTATAGTCTTAGCAATTCAGTAGATTGTTTCCCTATATTTAAAATTTGTTTAGATCTTATGGGGTGTTTATAACACTCTTTTTATTTTTATTCTAATTGCCTTAAAATTGTACTCAAGTTTGGTCACTTACCATAATAATAACATTAACTAGCTAATTAAAAATAAGTTTCTGTAGATTGAATGAATTCGTGCACAGTCAGCTATAATTGTACTGGATACCATGGTAAGATGACCCAGGGTGCACAGGACAATTTTACACCACCCAGTTGCTTTCAGATACCACCCCTGATACAATAGGGTTGGTATCGTCAGATTACCTGTGCTTGGGCTCAACTTTATAAACTAGATTTAATGAACACCTAGTTCGGCCATATTAGAGTACCTTGCAACTTGATATAGCTTTCCACATACTAACTTTTTATGCTCCCCTACACCCATGTAAAGCTTCTACCCCTTCTTTTAGATTCTTTTAGATTCTTTTAGATTCTCACTTTTTATATACTTTTAAGTTTTTAATTTATGAATGTTTTATTCTTGCTTTTTTATTTTATTTTTACTCTTGATGTATATTTTTAGATCCTGTAGGCTTTTTAATGACTATACCCCCCTCCTTATGCTGGTCTATGACTATAACAAAGATATGATTGGTTGACTGATTGATTGATTGATTGATTGATTGATTGATTGATTGTAGTAAGATGCATTTTATACATATGTATAGTTTGAATTTATTTTCTAATAACTTGTCCATTAGGAAGAGTAACAATGACCTCTTGGCATGGGATCCACTCTTTAGAAATTCTGGTGATTCATCTTCCCTGACCTCAACAATGTCTTCTTCTTCATCCGGTAACATATTTCAATCAATAAAAAACTTAAATTATGCTTGTTTTTCAATAAACACTTGTACTCAGTAGTGTGTGCTATGTAAAAATATTATAAAATATACTATTACAGTAATTCAAATTTGTATTTTTCCATGATAGCATAGTTATTTAGAAGAATAATATAACTTCAAGAATCTTTTTGCAATTTCCCTCAAAAAGTTTTTTTTTCTGTTTATTCTTGTCTATTGGATTTTGAGAATGATTGCAGTCCTTAGCAGGTGGTGGCACCTGGCTGACCTTGTCTGGGCTTGAAAGGTAAAAAGGACTTGGTTTCTTATTACCTGGGTAGTCAAAAAATAAAAAAAACAAATCCAGGAGAAACGCAGTGGCAGCCCACTTCTGTATCGCTGCCAAGAAAAATACATGGATGTGTCTCATGTTAACAGGAATCAAGTTTGACATGAAGGAGATTTTTCTTTATGATTCTAAAAACTGAAAAGCATGTAATTTGTACAAACAGATATAATCTAGGATCAACCTATGCATGCTTAAGTTTTACTGCCAGCAGTGAAAGTTATATAGACTTGATTGTTGGCAAAATGAAGGACACAAGTATCATATTTAGCTAATTTGCTATTACAGTGTGTATATATTGATCAAGCATCTTGTGCTTTCATACACTGAAAGCTGTCTTTTGCAAAATGGTGTGGTTTCTGTTGAAGTTTCTCGACTCTGTCTACCTTAAGTTTCAGTGATTATTCTTGGTTTGTTTGGGATTTGATAGAGCTCAGCTGATAGCATTAGAGATAGATGGGGCAGTACATGGAGAAAGGTACTACAGGTAGTCCTTGCTTAACAACCATTCATTCAATGACTTAGGTTAAAGCAGAGCTGAACAAATCATAGTTACACCTGGTCCCCGAAGTTATGGCTGTTGCAGCACCCCTGCAATCACATGATCAAAATTTGAGTGTTTGGCAGCCTACCCGCACCTACAGGGTGCTTCAACTCTCTCCACCCACCTATTTCTTCCCCATCTCTACCTTTTTGTCCACCTTGCACTCTGCCAGCCCTGCCACCTTGGGTTCCACTGGCCCTGCTGCCCTGCTGCCCCCAGCTGACTTTCACCATCTTCTTCCTTCCACTGCTGATGAGGTGCACCCAGCCTGGCCCATTGCGAGGCAGCTGCTGGCCATGCCAGGCATTCTTCCCAAGGCCGTGTGCGGCTTTCTTCAAAGCCTCACAAGAAGGCCTCGTGATTTAGGCAAGGCACAATCACATGCAGCTGTCTCATGAGGCTTTGAAGCTTTCTAAAGCCTTGCAAGAAAGCTGCACATGATTTTAAAAGCTGGGAGGGTCCAAGATGGAAATGGCTTGGATCAGAATGGGTCCTCACTTAATGACCGGTGCAATTCAGTTAATGCTGACAACAGGGACTGCTAGCATTGCCATCACTAAGCAATCGACTTTACGCTTTATGACCACATCACTTTGTGACAGAAATTCCAGTCCCAATTCCCATCGTAACTTGAGGACTACCTGTAATTGTAGATTGCAATTTTTTGTTATATATTTTGTAATGTTACTGAAATGTTTCTGCAAAGACTTATAGAATTAATTATTTTTTGCTGAGAAGGCAGTACACTACTCTGTTTATAATCCCTATGTTCCCTCCTACTGCAATATTATTTGGCATAGGTCTTTTCTTTACAAAATAGTTCTATATCTCCTTGTATCCTGTCTTAAGTTTATTGAATAAACGACATTAGTATGTCAGATAAAGGAAATTCACTAGTAATTAAGAAACACATTTGCTGGCTAATTTGTTGAGGTACTGCTGGTGGTTCTCACTATAACTTCTAAACATGCTATTCTCTCTTTTTAAACCTGTCTTTTGATAAGCTCAGACACATGCCATAACACCGTTAAGTACTATTTCAGATATACAGTAGGCTTTGTTAATTGTCAGACAGAGTTAATAGTACAATATTTATTAATGAAGTGAAGAATCCCTGTATTAAACTATTCTTTTCTACCAGTTTCAACAATAAATTATTTTGTATACTATATTTCAAAATTCAATAATTTAATCATTTTATCATTACATATATTATCCTATGTACGTGTAACCATTTCTGCAGTTTTATTATGTGATTCATTACAACTGTTTTATGGATGCTTTGAATATACAATAGCTATAAACGAGATAAGTGTGGTGCCTATGGCTGAACTATTTTTTAGTTCAGCTGTTCCCTGACTCTTAAAATGCTGTTAAATTAATCTTGGATTTAAGTATTTTGTTGGAACATTTTGCCATTATTTACTAATTAGTTATAGAAACAGATTAATATTCTGTTATTGCCTTCCAGGAAGACCAACAACCCCTCTCTCTGTAGGAACTTTAGTACCTCCCCCAAGACCAGCTTCTAGACCAAAGTTGACTTCAGGGAAACTCAGTGGAATTAATGAAATTGTAGGTGCATTACATCTTGACTCTAATTATCGTTCCTTCTCTGATCATAGCATTATTAATTTGAATGCATACATAAATGTTTTTGAATTTTGTTTGTTAGCCAAGACCATTCAGCCCTCCTTTGACCTCCAATTCCAGTCCACCTCCATCAGCCCCTTTGGCACGCACAGAGAGTTCTTCCTCAATATCATCTTCTGCTTCACTAAGTGCAACAAATACACCCACAGTTGGTAAGTTATAGTCTGCCATGATGACCGTCACATCTTTTTTTGCTTTTGAAAAAAGCAAACTTTATTACAAAGATTTATATACCACCCAATCACAATGTCTCAGGATGGTTTATAATAAAATGTATAACATAACAGCCAAGCACCGACCCAATAAAACCAACATCTCATAAATCAAAAATTATCACCAGAATTAAAATCAGTTTCCCATAAAAAGGCAGGCAGTTCCTATCCGTAATGCCTAAATGCCTGTTGAAACAGGACTGGTTTTGTTTTGTTTTTTCCCCAGCCTTCCAAAACAGTAATTGCAGGACCTGAAACCCAACCAAGCTGATTTCAGGCAGTGCTATTTTTCTGTCTCCACCTAACTAGATCACAATGATACATACCAAATCTGCCCATCTGACCATCACCAGATTATATACAACCTTATTGTGGATGGACATGGTGTTTTCCAGGAGCAGCTAGACACAAAGGTTCCCAACAATTCAATCACTTGGGCTCAGAGTAGGTGTTACATGATCAATCAGACTTCCTTTATGTATCAGTAAAACCTATATGAAGGTCTGATAACATTTAGTGACAGACATATGCAAAAATTCAAAAACTCCAAAAGGAAGTGAATGCTTTTTCACAGAATTTTATTTAAGATGGCAAAGAGAACCCAGCTACAAATGAGCTCCATCCTTTAAAACCTAATCCCCAATACAGTACAGAATAAGAATACTGCAAAGATAGGCAACACTAACAAATATTCAAAATCTACATTCCTGTTGTTTAAAATTGCATCCAAGATTTGTGTGCCTTATCAATTGTTGAAATGTATTTATATTCTAAAAGTGAGAAGATGGAGCAATATGTTCTAGATCTAAGGATTGATTTAATGTTTGGATCTTTTTTCTTTGTTTTTCCCTCTTATATTTGTTTGTTATTGTTATTAGCATTTGTTCTGCCTAGTTGCAGGGTCCACTTGTTTTCTGCTGTGCTTGCATTAGGTAAATCAGCAAAGCTATCTATGCATGATGTGAGAAGGGATTTTGTTTTCAGCCAGTGTTGCAAGGCCTGATGCCATTTCTTCCCATTACGTTTCATTTAATGTATGTAGTTTTTTTTTAATTGTAATATTACTGATGTATTACAATTTTGTATTGTTTGTTATACTTCACTAATAAAATAAATAATAGAAAGAAATATATGGCTTTTTAGGGTTAATATGGGTTAGTGTGTGTGTGTGTGTGTACCCATATTAACACTAAAAAGCCATATATTTCTTTCTATTATTTATATATTATAGTGACTATGTATCTGAATTAAATTTAAGCATGACATCAGGGAAAATACTATCTCTAAAAAGAGACTTGCATCACATATAATAGAAAAAGGTCCACGTTTTGCAACTAATACAAGCATCCACTGAGAACCACTGTATTTCATTATAAAATTGTTTCTTGAGGAAAAAACTATTTCTATATATAGTTTCTTCCCTGTTTATATTATGTCTGATCTTACTTTGATTTTAGAGTTATTAATTAATCCTAAGCTCTTTTTCACAATTGCACATAGTAACCCTAAATCTAACTTTGATATAACATTTTTTAAAAAATACTTTTATGCGTTGAATTTCAGTTGCTTAGTGCAGTATTTTGAACTCTGCATCACTTTATACATAATACTTAACAGCAGATCATGAAAACAGCAGTCATGAAAAGTATAACTAAAATCATCCAAATGTATAGTTAATATTGTTTAATTGAAGCCTATACATTATGTATTCTAGGAACTTCACGTGGTCCTAGCCCTGTCAGCCTAGGAAGTCAAGATACATTGCCTGTTGCAGTAGCCCTAACTGAATCTGTAAATGCCTACTTCAAAGGAGCAGATCCCACAAAGTCAGTAAAATAGTAATTCATTTTGAATGTCACATTTTGCATTGAAAAGGCAGCTAAGATTTCCCTCTTAGTTTAGAACAAAATTTGAAACTTCAACACTTATTGATATATTTCAATAAATACATTAGTGACTAGTGTCACATTTTTAAACAGCTATTGTATTTTGAGCTTGTGTGACAATTGCAGTATTTTATCTCTTTTGCTAGGTTATTCTATAGGTCTTTCAGTTTTACTTTTAAAGAATTATTTTTTTCAACAAACTTCCACCAAATGCATTTTATTTATATACTTACCATGGACTGGACTGGACCTCAAGAAAAGTGACTGTCCATTCTATGGAATTTTAATCAGTCCCCTCCCCAAAAATCTAACCAGACGTCATCCATTGTCATCTACAAGGATATATTTGCACATACTCGAGTGGAATTAATGCAAGCATTGGTAGGCTATCTACAACAGTTTTCTTCAAACTTGGCAACTTTAAGATGTG